GCGGTACAAACAATTACAAAAGATTTTGGTGGAGTGGCACCAAACAAGGCTAAAAATAAACTCCAGTTTATTGAGGATTAACAAAAAAAGAAGCTTATTGCTTAATTACAAATGTTACAAAATTGCTAAAAAAATGTTAACCCTTTCGCTACAAGTTTTTAATGAGTATGTTTCAAAATCTTATATTTTCAATTCTTACTCTTATTGGTCCTATGAATATTAATCATTATTTTAATATATATAAATCTTCTGTACGTGTGTTTGTAATTGAACTTCTTTTAAACGGCTGAACCGATTTTGATGAAATTTTTTGTGTGTATTTGAGGGGGTTTGGGAATGGTTTAGATTCACAATTCGATCAACTAGATAATGTTTTAACAATGAATGTTTTGCAAATTAGAATTCAGAGCAACGCAATCAACGTCTTCGTGCTAATGCATTAAGGCAACGAGAGGCGCGTCCACGAGTGACCGACGCTCACAGAGTAAATGAACGTAAGCGGGTGCAAATCATCGAGCATGGCACGAGTATCGTTTAATCACCTTGCGTTTGAATATGACCCTGAAATAGACTATTCATCTCATTCGCTATGTCAATATTGTCATGCTTTTAAGTACAAAGGTGAATCGGCCGGCTTATGTTGCGCATCTGGAAAAATTTCACTGCCATTTCTAAATTCGCCACCAGAATGTTTGAAAACGCTTTTAGCTCGAAACACATCTCAATCAAAGTTCTTTTTGCGTAAATCGGTAAATGTTGGGTCCGCTAGTTATATTTAAAAAAATTTTAACCCTAAATGTGTTTTTTGAAATATATCCATTTTATACAACTTTCGCGTATGGTAATTAAAAATGCTTCAATTTTCCATTGGGACTAATTATTGAATCCGTTTCAGTGGAAAAACTTGCCGCTCCGATCGAAACAAATTATGTTGAAATCATTGAAACTGTTTTAAAAACAAATTTTAGATGAAGTTGAACTCACTTACGGACTCGATAAAATACATTCCGTAGCTAATAGATGGCGCTTATTTCGAAACCATTGGTACCACAAAATCGAGAACAATAGTCGATATCTATCCGTTGATGAATTTAAAAAAACGGGGCATTTGTAAGTATTTATGTGAAAAAATTCGTAAGAATGCACTAAATTATGGTTAAATGTGCATTTTAAAGATAAAAACACACAAACAAAAATCACTTTAAATTAGTATAAAAGTAAAAAAAGCGTTAATATACTGTTAATAAGAGTTAATTTACTGATTGGAACCAATTTTAATTTTGCAATTAATTAGAAAATGAGAAAAAATTCAAAACAAATTTCTGGAATACGAGGTAGGTCCTGCAGCCAAGTAACTTTAAGTTTACTTGAAAAGGAGGTCAGCTGTATACATACACCAGTTTAAGGATTAAGAGGTATTCAAAGGATGTTTTGGATGTTCACCTGTAACTGCAACAATTCTTTCCCAGAATCAAATACAAAATTAATCATCTTAGATAACGCCTGTCCAGGCAATGCAAACTAATGCAGATGCTGATGTATGCTAATGTTATGAGTCCACTTGATGAGCATGTTATTATTCAAAAAAAAAATGGAAGAAAATGTTTCAAAAAAGCTAAACATGCTTATGAAAATGTTCGTATAGCTGACGATAAAGCGGTTTACTTATGGTAAAGCAGGTTATCGACGGTATCTATGACCGCATGAATATTTTCGATTGACAATTCTTTCCGTATCGAATTCAATTTCGCTGCGGAATGAATAGTTAGATTTAGGTGACCATATTTTTTCCGGCGAAATCCGGATTTTTTAAATATTATAATTCACTGAAAATCGCGAAGTAATATTAAAAATGATTAAAACATTCAATCGCTGTCTGGTTCGATCGTTTGTATATCAGCTGATGAAGTGCACGGTGACGTATTTCTCTTGTTGACAGACAGAAAAGTAAAACATTGAACTCAACGTTTGTCAACGGATGTCTGCTCTTTGCTCCTTTCATCAATTCGTTTGTCAGCTATATACTGAGAAATATAAGTGAATTGTTCAAAAAGGTTATGTTATATATATATAATAAATATTATTTTCTGTGAGGAAAATAAACGTTTTCTCAATTGCCTCATGCCATGCCTTAAGATATCCATAGCAATCATCTAATTGACACATTGAAGACAATTAAAAATCAAAATTGAGGTGTAAAATGAAATATTTACTTCGAAATTGTTTCGCCTCTACTTTAAATTGCTTCAAGTCATACTTGCAACGGAAAGTAATTGTGTTGGTTTTATGTTTGCAAATTGTACATTTAATGTTGTAAGTGTTTGTAAATTGCAACTGCTGGAATTTCATCACCTTCAATTTTATTTATTGTTTCTTCGAAACTCAAGGCCAAAAATTAATGAGAATTAAATAATTTCTCGATTTTGGAAAAATTTCTGTTAATAAAAATATATTTTCACCTGTTCATGAACAAAAATGAACCAAGGCTTCGATAGTGAATTACTGAAAAAATGGCGGATACATCTGGCTTTTTTGAGTGGTGAAGGAAGGTCGTCGAAATACGTTTTCAAAGGTTGGAATATTCGAATGAATCCCCAAAGCTTCTCTTAAGCCAATGCACCGAGTTTTGCAGTAACCAACCAGTTGATCCTATTCGTGTTCAGAATCCTCGCAGATTGACTTTAATGCTTCTGTGCGGATGATGTAAAAATGTGTGTAGATCTGAACAACAATGCTCTATATAAAAAAAGAAAACATCAAGTGTATTACATGCGTTACGAATCGCATAATGCACGATATGCGATGCACTACCTACACCAACTATGTTTGATTTTAATTGCTTTAATTTTGCAAAAACATTTCCTTCACTTTTCCGAACAACGCGACCGAAATTACTTAGCGCATTGTCACCACAGTAAGCGATCAATTTATTAGTCAAATCAAAATTTTCCAAGGCCCTTTTAATTAATGAAAAAATCATATCCGACGTTTTACCTTTTTCCTGTGAAAGTTCAATTATTTAAACATTTTCTCCAGAAAATGAAAGAAAATAACGAGGGACGACAGGAAACATCTTGCTTGCTTTGCGATTGGAAGCGTTTGTCGGTCGACAAACAAATGAATCGGGCTTTCTGTAAATCAGACTTGAGGCATTCCAATGCGTATGGTGCAAAAACATTTATTATTATCGATTCACTTTTTTTCTTGAACGCGAAAATTTTTTAATTTGGAAACAGGTTCTAATGTTTTTGGGTTGCGCAGTCGTTTGATCTACAATAAAAAGTTTGAAAAAATTTGATTTGGACCATAACAGCTGTTTTTTAAATCATTTTTTGAATAACAAACGGGAAACTGTGATTCTCATCAATTGTGTGGTACGGGCACATGCCTTCCATCGTCGATAGATTCAAATCTGGTTTCTCTCTGATGAACAAATCTGATATGATTGAAGTTTGAAGAGAAGCATTTGCTGCCACTTTGTGTTTCTTTGTCTTAAATGATTTTCAATACACTTGCCTCCAGCAGCAGCAACTGAATAGTTGCATTACATTTGTCGCAATGAACGTTGTAATCGTCATAAGTTAGTCTCAAAAGAGGGTATTTTTTTCTTCAAATTATCGTTGAAAATACAATTTTGTTTCGATGTTTCACAAAGTAATCTTTATTCGTAAATATGCATGCTTCAAATTCTCAAAATTACCTTATGTTTCGCTTTGAATGTTGAATGAAAGTAATGAGCTGTTAGTGAACAACGCTAACGTTCGCGCCAAAATCTACTACAAAATTTAATATATTCAAACCGAATTTAGAATGAAAAAATAAAACATACAAGGTGGGCCATCTACATTGTTTTATTTTTTTCCGTTTATTGGGAAATTTTCCTTTTTGCTTTAATTGCTAAGCCCGGGACGGTCGGGGCGCTTAACTCGAAATCTGGCATTGTCCTGGCAAAACCGGTACGAATGGTCAGCTTTAGTTAGATCAAATCAAGATAAAAATATTTAAAATGTATTTTTTTAAATAATTATAATAATAACAATTATTATTATACACTTTAAGTTCACATAAAACAAAATAAATAAATTTATTCTTTGTGTATATTCTCATTTAAATATGGTATAATCTAGATATAAAAAAATTAAAAAAATTTCGACTTGCATCTTAATCGGATAATTTATGATACTTAAACTTTTTTTCGTACAAAGTTCAAATAACAAGCCGGTTAAAACCTCTAGATTTGCTTATTCGCCTGGAATTTTGCCAAAAAATGATGGAAATTGCCGAAGAAGAAAATAACTTGATTAATTGCCTATTTATGTCTGATGAGGCCCATTTTGATATAAACGGAAATGTAAACAAGCAAAATTTCAGTATATGGAGTGAATCAAGTACAGAAATAATCAACGAGATGGAACTTCACCTAGAATATGTCACTGTCAATAGTCACGGTTATTTAAAGATGCTTCGCTATCGCTTTCAATAGCGTTTGGTTCCAGCGACATGGAGCAACTGCACACATAACCAGGCCGGTTATTGTGGAGCTTCACCGAAAATTTTAAAACAAATTAATATTATATCAAAAAACTCTACTTTTCGCTGGTACCCTAGGTCACCTTACCTGACTGCACTAGACATTTTTTATGGGGTTATGTCAAGCAAGTGGTGTACATATAAAACAAAACCCCAGAAGTCTGACTGAATTAAAGCAGTTCATTAAATCGATAATTGAGGAATCCCGACATCAACCCTTCAGGCCGCAATGAATAATTTTCTTATTAGGTGTCGCATACGCTGAGCATGGAGTTCATTTGCGGTCCATAATTTTTACAAATAACTGATTATATTATATAAAGTAAAATAAAGTTTGCTATACAATAAACAAAAAATAAATGTAATGCATTGATTAGAAAACAGTTATTACGGTTTGGTGGGTTCACTTATTTTTCAAGTTCGGTGTTATACTCACTTGCACTAGCTTTCGTTAAAAATGTGAATTAAAAAAAACCTTTTGAATCCTTTATTAATTTGACTTTATGATATGATATAATGAATTTGATAATTTATAATTGTTTACGTCGAGTTTGACAATAGTTCATTTTAACTTTTCACACGAACGACGAAAACTACGTTGCGGGAACGTACCAATGGCGAACCTTAAAGGTCACGGCTGAAATCCCAATCTAGTCCTTTTTGATCATTTGGATGGTGGACAATGGTTGAAGTGTGGTTGGTTAATTGTATGTGGTTGTGTTGGTGGGTATATGTGGTGTTGTGTTGTATGATGTTGTATGGTGGGTTGTGTGCTGAGTTGCAAAATGTCGCGGGATCAGAAGTCGCATAAACATCCCTAGGCGAATTAATTACCTAGAAGTCTCTGCTACTGTTGCAGGGTACTCTCTACGGCGTTCAATCCAGTTGCTCTTTGTCGCTGGTTGCGATGACCATTGGGTGGTGGAGGTGGCCGCGAGCGTGCCCCTCTGGATGGCTTGGATCAATGTACTCTTCGGCGCTGGACGGGATCCTCGTGTTGTCTGTGCCGCTAACTGGTCTTTTTTGCTCGTCGAGGGAATCGATGAAACAATGTGTGATGCGTTCGTTGACAATATTAACACGATCCGTCGGTTAAACAGTCAAAGGTGGAATGAGTATTTGCCAAGCAAGTCATACAGTGGCCGTGGGCTCTGGCGATCTATTGGCGTTGAGACCAGTGTGGTCGATGGATAGACTGCATCGTGGAGGCAGATACACTTCAAACTGCTTCGCATTTGCATCTCTGACTGCTGCTGCAGATGATTGTCTGGGCGGACTCTTGACGCTTTGCATTCTTGTTGCTTCGATGGGGGAGCTGATTCTCTAAGCGCAGTAATTACGGACCTCACAGCCTTGGGAGTGCTGCGGATATCTTATTCGTCCATTTCTATAAATTAAAATATATTTAATATATATCCTATTCTCTAAGCGCAGTAATTACGGACCTCACAGCCTTGGGAGTGCTGCGGATATCTTATACGTCCATTTCTATAAATTAAAATATATTTAATATATATCCTATTCCAATAGAAATGGACGTAGGAGTAGGAGCACTCCCAAGACTGTGAGGTCCGTAATTGCTGCGCTTAGAGAATCAGGTGCCCATATATTTATATATAGATATATACAATATATATACCGATATCTATTTATATATGTTGTGGTTAATTTTTAATCGCGTTTGTAAGTGTTAGGTTTGCATGTACGGATTGTAAAATGGTAGTATTCCGAGTTAAACGAATTAATTGTCGGTTTTGATTTTATTTATGCGCTTGTTTGTGTTATCGGTTTTTCAGTGTTCGAAAGGAAACACACAATTTTACTAATGGTCGAGTTAGTATGCCAGTTTGTGTTCGTACATCTACTATTCTTACATGACCATCTCGTCCCCGATACAATGCGGCCTAGTTGCCATACGGTTGGAGGAAGGCATTCATCATGTATGATGACGCATTATCCCGCATTTGGTTCCTTCTGGATCGTTTTCCATCGATGTCTCTTATGGCGAATTCATGATGAAGTATCTTAATTTTTCCCCATCGGTCTATTAAATTAGTAAGTCTCCTTCTACCTCAGGTATTGCGAGAAGTGAAGCTCCTCTGAAGAAATCTCCAGGTGTAAGAGCTGTGAAATCGGAGGGATCTTGCGAGAGTAGTGAGATAGGTCGTGAATTTAGTACGATTTCTATACGAATAAGTAGTATGGTAAGTTCCTCATAATTGAATTTATGATTACCTGACGTTTTCTTTAAATAGGATTGAAGGCTTTTCACAGCTTTTTCCCAGAATCCGGCCATGTGAGTAGGTTCCTTCAATCGGTTCCTTGTTGTGCATATTTTTAACCATTTATGGGGAAACTTCTGTAGTAAAATTTACAAACTCTTTCTCTGTGGCTCTTTGAGCTCTGATAAAGTTTTTCCCATTGTCGTTTATAATTTTTGATGGAAATGCGTTGCGAGGAAAGCCGCAGAATACAGATCTGAACATAGCTTGAGGTGTACTGCCTTTGTCGTGAAATACACAGACAGCCATATACCCTTTTCTGAATTAGGAAGAACTTAACATAGAGGCAGAAGCCTTGTAATTCTACATTAAAGTCAGGTGCGAAATTGCTGCTATCTTGCCACAGTTCTTGAATGAGGATTTTTGTTTGGATCATTGTTGGCGAAAGCCATCCTGCGGGATCGAAAAGTTTTGCCACCGAAGAGAATATATGACGTTTGGTTATGGCGGATATTGCAGATATTGACTCAATTGTATATTGATCTGTTATCGCATTCAATTGAATCACGAGGATTTTGGAGTTCTGAGTTTTTCAAATTTGAGGAAGTTTGTATCTAATAAGTATTCACTTTTTATGTTTTTTATCTCGGGATGATTTGATGTAATTTTCTTTAGGGGCAACCCGGCTGAACTAGGGCTCTGATCACTGTGATTCGCACGCTAATGACAGACTTTGGCTACCTATTCCATCAGGTATGTTGTTTAATGTATGTTTGTGTTGTTCTAATGGTTAAATAGGGTCCACGATTGATGCCAAAGGTAACTGTTTTAAGTTGGTAGTCCCTGATTCGACTATTACTTGATTTTCAGAAGACTATATGTAGAAAATCTTGGTCATCTTTATGTACTAAAATTTGCTTATACATTTTTTCTACATCTCCGTTAAAAACATTCGCCAATTTAGTATTAGCAGCATGAGATCAGGTTGCAATGTTGGCCCTGTGTATAGTACACCATTGAGTGATTTGCCTGAGCTCGTACACTTTTAGGAATTAAAAACAACTCGTACTTTTGCTGTGATTTTATCTAGTCTTAGTACCCCATGATGTGGAAGATAAAAAGATAAATATCTACCATTTAGTACAGCTTCTTCCATATGATTGAGGTCAAGATATTCATCCATCACGTTATCATATGCTGATTTATGTTCGCTTTCCTTTATTAAGCGTTTTTTTAAGCTTAGGAATTATTGGACTACTGATATTTTAGAGTGGCCTAGATCTTTAGTTTCTGGAAAAGGTGGGCTGGAATGAGAGTGGCACAACATAACGACCATGTTCGTTTCTTGTTGTTGTAGACTTGTAATAGGCTTCGCATGCCAGGTCTTCTTCTGAAGGTTGTATGATCTAAGGTAATTCTTCTACTTCTCAGAATTTTTTGAGTTGATTATTTAAATATTCGTTCTAATATTATTCAATATTTTCTACTTCAGTTGTGAAGGAAGTTTTTCTGTAACTTAATATCGATCCAAAGATTATATTTTGGTCTAAAAATTTATTAGATATTTTCTCTATATCCTCAAGAACTATTTCAAGTATTAAGTCGCTGCCCCATAATATGTCGATTTGTGATGGATTATGGCAGTTGGGATCTGCTAATTTAAGGTATGAGATTATTTTCCACGAATTTTTATTTACTTCATAGTTTAGAAGCAAATTAGTGAGCTGCGGTACAACAATGTCTTGTGCATCTAATCGTATATCCGCGTTTGGATGGACTATGGTGATTGAATTTTAAATTTGAAAACTGGAATTTTCGAATGGCAATTTTAACCGATTCTGAGCCTTTGATGATATAAAGGATCTTTGAGAACCTTGATCTATTAATGCTCTCAATTTGAATAATCTCCCTTTTGTTCTATAGAAATGACCGCTATGAATAAAATAATTTTGTTTTCGTTCTCTGAATGAAGAGCTTGAATTTCCTTTTTATGTATGTGATTTTGCTTCATATTTGTAAAATTGGTTATGTGAAGCAATGAATGATGTCGTCGTTGACTGTACACACCACTGAATTCGCTTTCACAGTATTTTTCCCGTGAGAATTTAACAAACAGTTGATGCAAAGTTTATGTTGTCGGAGAAGATTATTCCTATCTGAAACGGACAATTTCTTTTATTATTATTATATATCAATAACGTTAATTTTTTACTAATAATATTGCAATATAATATTCAATGACGGACGTAGCGCCTTATCGTAGAACGCTCAGTTCCTGCTCTTTAATATGAATTGGACATTTGTCTGAATATGCGAAATCAAGATGAATTGGTCGCGTAGAAAACACCAATAGATTGTGCAGAAAATATTTATATGTAAAATTATGCGACCGGTCAAAGAAAAAAGCGTGCGATCGCGATTTCGGTTTTTATACAATTCAATTCTTTATTACAGTTCATATATCACTTAGCCTAAACCTTAAGATAACTACAAAAAGGGGAAAGTGTAATTAATTTCCTTAAATTATGGTAAAAGATTAAGGTGAGTATTTTAAGTAGTATTATTAGGGTAAGTATTTTATATAAACTATAAATTTTATAATTTCAGTTGAAATCTTTAAAATTGCAATTTATAGTATTTTAAATAAATTAAATATTTATTTTAATATTAGCATATATGATGTCGCTTGACGCAACACCGGCCACCTTGACAGGATCATGATCCTTCAACATCGATTGGCATTAAGGCGAGTTTATGAATAGGGCGCTTAATTGTGCTCGCCTTGGTTGCCATGTCTGCCACATTTACCTTGCCGTCTTGCCCTTTTGCGGCTGCAACGACTCGTCCAAGTACCCACTGCTGCGGTAGTACGTTGTCTTCGTGAACGAGGACGGGATCTGCGGGCTGTAGATTGCGCATCGGGTGCAGCCATTTGTTGCGCTCCTGAAGGCCAGTCAGGAATCTTTTGGACCACTGTTAGTGCTTCTCCGTAGTTGGGGTCCTGTCTCAATGCTGCTAGGAGACGCGAAGTCAAAATGGCAAATTGATGTGGAATGATGTAGTGTGGCCCACTCGGGATCTTATTGTTCGTTGGGCTCATGTGACCCAGTGCTCTGCCGAACTGCGGTTTCATATGAGTGTCCGAGTAGTTTACGATCAGCTTTAAAGGGCATTCTGACTTGAAACCGCTCGCTCTGGTGTGAATTTGTTTCTGAAGGTAATTCTTCTAGAGCCCAAAATTTTTGGACTACCGAATTAAGTGACATTAGGTCTTCTTCAGCTTGGCATATTGTGCTATTTACTTCGGGAGGAGGACTTGCTGACATATTTGCCAGACTCAATCCATTCCAAACAATTTTCTGTAGCATTGGTTCATTAGAACCACTTTTAATTTGGTCAACAGCTAGCATATTGAAATAGGTTTCTGCTCCCAATAACATATCAATCTTTTGGGATTTTTGGAATTCTCGATCCGCCAATTCAATATTGTGCCCAATTTTTCAGCTCATAACATTGATGTTTCACAAACTCGAACTTCTGTTGGACCAGAAGCGCCTTGAAAGTTGGGCAGGCAGTTAGATGGTGCTCCTTCGACTTGCACTGTTGACACGTTGGCTGCTTAATATTATATTTGCAGCAACTAAAGCTGGCTTCATCCAGTGCTTGTGTTGCTGTTTCATGTGATTCGTGCAGGTTGCGGCTACGAGTTTCGTCCTCGAACCGCAATTTATTTTTTATATGTATATATATATATATAATAAATTTCATCAATAACCGCTGAAATCTTCTTGAGGGAGTCTTGAGTTGTGAGACGTTACGAAAGATGTTTCGGCAATTGACGTTCTATTTTTGGCTCAAATAGTTTTAGTAATTGATTTCGTTTCAACAATTATGTCCTCTAACTCCCCGCGGGCCATGTCGTCTTCATCAATCTTTTCAATTTTAAATTGGCATTTCATTAACTTTTCACTGAGTGAATTTAATATGTCGAGCCGACATTCCAATTCAATTGGCTCTAACGACATGATTTTTTTCAGAAGACCCATTTTAATACGCAAAATGCTACTTTTTGCCACCGTCCTTTGACGCTTTAACGACTTTAAGTCTGTAAATTCGTTACCTAAGGGTAAAATTTGTAGATTATAAAAAAAGAAAAGTTTTGGACAAAAAAATTTTTTTTTAACATCTAGAGGTGGCCCTCAGTTTTAAAGTAAATTTCGAGTTCAAACTTTTTGGGACAAGAAAAAATTATTTTTGGTTTAAACTCCTTACATTTATATTATATAAAAATTTTGCAGTTTGCATTTTCTTGCCTCATGCGTCACGTTGGTAGCTGCAAACACAACCTCCAATAAAAAACTAAACGCGATGTTTGTATGCGCAAGTTTGTGTGGTATCATGACCGCGTCCCCGTGGACTTCGATCTGATGCACCTCCATTGATAATCGAAGCAAAATGTTTTGCGGTTGCTGCTAATCAAACGTTCAGATGTTTGTACATGGTTTTCAGCATGTTATGCCATCAGCAGATTATTTACGCTTCGTCAGGGTCACCAGTTTTAGTGTTTGCTTATTAAAAATTGTTATTTATTTACGTCAATATTGTAATTGAAAATAATATTATACTTAATCATGTGGTGCTGGTGATCGATGCACCGGCACGTCCGATTGCGTGGGAGTCCATGAGTCCTTAAGTTTTTTTTTTTATTTCAATTAGAAAGTATTTTGTTTACTAAATGAGCTGAAAGAACATTACCAGACACTCTCCATTTCCATGCTGTCGGTAATTATCAAGATTGCAGCTTAAATGATTTTAACTTTGCGCTGGCACAGACTACGATACCTATGGTTAAGGAGATTTAAAATATTATAAAAACCATATCTATGCACAGTAGATAGAACACAAAAGACTAAAGAGGAGCACATAGCTTTAAAAATTTCATTTAATTCAAAAAGTATAACCCTAGGAATAGTAGATTTTAGCGACTCTTTGTGTAGGAAACTTTCCACGATCCCTAAATTTTATTTTAACTGTTTATAATTTTTTTTTCTAGTTTGTCCACGATCTCAAAATGTGTTTCTTATTTCAATGTAGATACTCGTATTTGTAAAAATAATACCACAAAAAAGTTGAAGTTTAACAATATACCGAATTTAAAAACTTCGACCAAAATGTTTTTTTTTTAGTTTTTCGTTTTTATTTTATATTTTCGCATTTTTAACATATATGTATTTGTATAAAAACTAACAATAACTTATAGTACTTTCTATAAATACAATTAACCGAAGATTGTCATAAAAGTTTAAAAAATAGTTTACACTTATTTTAAAAAATTTTAGATTGGAAGTAAAGAATAAGCAAAAAGTACTAGCAGCTTTATATTGGAAATATGTATAGTTTAATTAGAAACCTTTTTTGATTTAGATTTGCATGTGTTAACTGTTAAAATCTTTAAGTTCTGCGATTTTTTTTGATAACAGAAAAGAAAATGTGTTAACATAATTTGAAATAAGCGATTTATTTGCTGAGTACAAACCATATACTTCAATGTTTGTATCACCAAAATAGATTTTTGTTTTTGTCAAAATATATACAATCTGGATATTGAAGAAGATTTTAATTGCAATAAGCTAAATATCACTTGAGGTTTGTTACCAATAAGAATGTTTAACGTAATGTTTATTTAAAACCGAAGCTCAGAATAATTGGAAAAGAAAAAAACTGTATTACACTATTGTAACAATTGTATTATTTTACTTTTACTTATTGTGATAAATATTTTTGTAATAATTTACCATTGTAAATTTCGACATGAATAGAGATCAAATATTTGCATTGCACAGTAAATGGTTTAAAAGAAAAGTTAATTGGACTGGGACTTTCAACTAACACACGCAAAGCTACTTTGCAAGACGGTCTTTGCGAGCATTGCGGAGTTACCATTAGCAACAACGATGGCTTCGATAGGAACGCTGATTCAGTCCAAAGTAGTGTTATGTAGATGAGGGTGGTTGGGCGTTCAGCATTCGCATTGAAGTAATGAGCCTTCAGTCATTTAGTGGTATCGGAAATCCAACTCTTGAGGAATGGCTAGCCGACTTTGACAATAATTTCACAGCGGTGCAGTGGGACAATCTGCAAAAGCTTGTTTATGAAAAGCAGCTGCTTAGAGGTGCTGTTTAGATTTTTGTGCGAAGACAGCGCGGTATCAATAGTTGGGGAATGCTAAGCAAGCATTAACTAAAGAATTTGCGTAAACAGTATCAGCTATTGAGATGCATCGTCAGCTAAGAACTCGGCGGAAGCGCCCAAACGTGAATATCTACATATATGGCCTAATGAAGTTAGGTGTACCAATAAAGTTAGATCATTAAAAATTTCACTGAGAGCATCCCTGACTCTTTGGCGAACAAAGCGAACTTTTGGCTAGTACGATTGCAGAACTCAAACACAGATTCTCATATACGACAATATACGTTCAGGGCGTCAACTCGGTTCGATTTTGCCTCTAGGGAATCACGAAGACATAGGTAAAAGGGCCACAAAACTGCAAGTAGGTGATACGTTACTATCGATGTGGGAAGATAGGTCACTTTGCCAATAAATCGGAAGTTGAAAGGCATAGGCGGCAGTATTTTAAACATGATGGGCAGTTGCAATCATAAAACAAACATTGACTCGTGTGAATTAGAAATACTCTTTCCTATCATCCATGAAGGTGATATTATATATCAAGCTATCACCTTTAACAATATACGCAGCAGGTTGATAATATCATCGAATTTAAGGGGTCTATATTTGAATGTGGTGGAGAAAGACAGTGATGACCAATGTTTCCATCCAAACCAGTATATGACATGAAAACCACGCCTGTCGAGGAGATATACCACTCCTATGAATATGAGCTGTTGGCTATTGTGAAGGCACTTAAGAGAAATTGAGAGTATACTTAATGGGAGTCCATTTCAAAATCGTCACTGACTGTAACTCTTTCGCCATGACTATACGGAAGAATGAGGTTCCAGTGAGTGTGTCTCGTTAGGCGACAATGTTGCAGGATTATGACAGTGTAGAATTGAATGTTTTTATCTGTTGCAAAAACCATCCTTTTTGTTTACTGAGGCGGTGTTCTGGCGCGATGCTGTGGTGTGTTGTG